GTTTTTATGTATGCACGTATGATCGTATGTATGTATGTATGTATGTATGTATGTGTGTATGTATGTTTGTATGTATGTATGTATGTATGTATGTATGTATGCATGTATGTATGTATGTATGTATGTTCGTATGTAGGTATGTATGTATGTAGGTATGTATGTATGTATGTATGTTTATGTATGTATGTAGGTATGTATGTATGTATGTCTGTATGTTTATGTATTTATGTATTTATGTATTTATGTATTTATGTATGTATGTTCGTATGTAGGCATGTATGTAGGTATGTAATGTAGTGTAATGTAATGTAATGGAATGGAATGGAATGGAATGTATGTTTGTATGTAGGTATGTGTATGTATTCATGTAAGTATGTAAGTATGTAAGTATGTAAGTAAGTAAGTATGTATGTATGTACGTATATATATATGTATATATTCATACATATGTAACACTAGATCGACCGAATTTACAAAATGCTCCGCACGGGAGCGCGATACTAGTCAAAATTTTCAGGACGCTCCGCACAGGAGCGCGATTTTTGATGAAAAATCAACGGAATTTTGAGGATGCTCCGCACGGGAGCGCAATTTGCATCAACATTTTCAGGATGCTCGGCACAGGAACGCGATGTTGAGCGAAAAATGATGAAGTTTTGAGGATGCTCCACGTGGGAGCACGATTTTTTTCAAAATTTTCAGAATGCTCCGCACGGGAGCGCGAATTTTAAGATATAAAGATGATAAAAATGCAAAAAGACGTAACTGTCTCGAGCGGGAGCGCGATTTTTCAGTAAGCAAAATCTGGAATTTTGAGAATGTCCCACACGGGAGCACGATTTTCAAAATTCGGGGCGCGACCAGTTCGGGCACAGACCCCTCTAGCAAAACTACTTTGAAGGGAGAGGAGGCTCAAATTGATGAATACTTACGACGCCATGAACGACAAAAACGACGATTTCTTGAGGATGTTCCGAGCGAGAGCGCGATTTCATAAATCACCTAGGGCGCGTCCAACATGCTTGCGCGACGGAAGAACACGCAGGGGCGCGCAATTTATTCAGAATCTTCAGAATGCTGCGCGCGGGAGACGGATTTTATTCAAAATCTTCAGGATGCCCCGTACGGGAGTGCGATTTTCTTCAACATTTTCAGGATGCTCCGCGCGGGAGCGCGATTTTGAACGATGAAGTCGACGAAGGCTATAGTGATTGTGTACCGAGGTACTCCCCTCAATACCGCGATGTTGAACGAAGAAGACGGCCTTGAGCGGAGTACCCCAGTAGTCAATCAGTATAGCCTTCCTCGACATCATCTTTAAAAAACTAATCAACGTTTTCCGAATGCTCCGCACGGGAGCGTCATTTTCAGAGAAATTGATAGAGATAAACCGACGAAATTTCCAGGATGCTCCGCACGAGAGCGCGATTATTCAAGATATAAAAATAAGAAAACAAGAAAAAGTCGACGCAGGCTATACCGATTGACTACCGGGGTACTCCGCTCAAGACCGCCGCTAGGAGACCTCGAGCGGAGTACACGCAGTCAGTATAGGATTTGTCAACATCAAAGTTCATAAATTATGAAATTTTCCGAATGCTCCGCACGGGAACGTCATTTTGAGAGAAATTGATGAAGATGAACCCACGAAATTTCGAGGATGCTCCGCACGGGATGGCGGGCGACAGCACATGAAACAATTAGAGCCCCACACTGAACGTGGGGAAAATTAGTAACAATAGTGATAATACTAATGGTAATAATACGAAAAATAATACTTATAGTGGTAATAATGGTAATAATAATGAGAAGAGGAATAATAGTAATCTTAATAATCAGCTGCTTAGGTGCTCCCCCTTCCATCCACCACTGCAATCGTGGGTATTCCGGGGGCTCCTGCTCAGTGCCCCCAGCTTTGTGCTGTAGGATTTCGGGTTTAGGGTATAGGACTTAGAGACTTAGGCCCAAGGGTTTAAGGCTGAAGGCCTTGGGTTCAAGGCTCACGGGTAGTTAAGCGTGATTCGCAACATCCTTAATTTTCAGAGGCGGTGAGGTTTGTACTAAGTTCTCTGGAAACTCGCAGAGAAAGTTCTGATTCCTAGGGTGCGTAGGGTAATGGAAGGCCAACTTAGTGAGGTCTGATTCCTGGCTAGGTTTTAGAGTTTAGATTTTAGGGGTTGGGATGGAAGGGTTTCAAAATCGTCCCTCTACAATCCCTCAGCAGGACCCGCAAAATTGCCTCATAGGGAGGCATGCTGCCATTGTGGCAATATAGCCCGTATATACCCTTCTCATATTATCCCGTAAATACATTAATCCCTATATAAGCTCTAAATAGCCCCTAGAAAAATCCCTGTAGTTTCCATTTTCTTTTCCATTATCCCTGTATAACCCCAATACAGTAACTATGTTTAGGCGGGCAGACGAGATCTGACGTAGCAGATTGTCATCAGGCTGTGGGGATGTGTGATGGCTGAATCACACCCGCCAAGCCGCGTACCCCTGTGCCCTGTACACTCGCAGCCCAAGCCCCAAAGCCAATATACTACATGGGGATGGTCCTAAATTACTGTCAATACGGGATCCTATATTTAGGTTCCTAGGTTCCTATTATAATACGGGGCCCTATATAAATTTCCCCCATTTTGGGAACAGTAATTTAGGGAAACTCCCGCATCCTAAACCCTGTCATCATCGCTGAAGAGAGCATGGCATGCAATAAAGGCCTCAGATCCCTGGAGCAGGTGATGACGAATCCCTGCTTCAATTTCATTTTCCCCAACGGTAAGGGTTAAACACTAGAATTCTTGAGACATTCACGCTTTAGGGGGCTGGGTGGTTTTAAGATGATAGTTGATTCAATTAGGTTTTTGGGGTATACTGTATAGTCTACTGGACATACTATAAATATCGCTGTCCACAGGATCAACGGCGTCAGTGGTCTTCAGGGGAAAAAGAGGATAAGAGAAGGCTTGGGAAGGTAGGATCCGGTATCACCCCCCCCCCTTTGCGTGCAATCTATCTACAAAAGCCAGTGTCTTCTTAAAGTCTGTAGGCTTTTCAGTAGTAGGATTTGGCACAGCCCACGAACTTTTTTGACGTCTTGGACCTATGCAAAGGACATAGGAGGATACCATTTCTCACTCGCGCAGCATTTCTTTGGTATGCTAGGGCTATGATGAACGTGATACTGCAAGAGTGCTTGCGTAGCTCTGGCCTGCAGGGCGTAGTTGTGGCGTTGCTTCGTGTAAGCAGCGTATGGGTAGTCTCGTCCATGTAGTCTTCATGTTCTTCAAGCAAGAAGGTTCGGGAGGCATAGAATTTTCGGCAGTGCCGCATAGTCAGCAATCCGCGTAGTTTGCGTCGGCATTCTATGTTAGCCTGGGTTGCTGTTGAGGAACTTAAATTAAGTTACTATATTGGGGAAACCCTAGTATTTACTACATATACTCATTATGGTAACTTAATTTAAGTTCCTTAACAGCAACCCAGTAGCACAAAAACCTGAATTAAAAAAAACAATTCTCCTTGAAGCTCTTGCATTATCGCTTTCAGCTGTCGGTGTATATTCGCATCCACAGGCCTAGGCGTGAAACGACCGTCCCCGTTGTTGGAAACCAGCCTGAGGCCCCCAGTTCACTGCTATCAATCTGTGTAAGTTCTTGATATCGTTTTGGGGGGGGGTAGAAGCTAGCCCTAAACCCGAAACCTACCTCAGGGCCGTTGAGCGCAGGTATGCAGCCTCTCCCTGGATCCGAACTACCAGCTTTCCGGCAATTATCCTGGGTCTGTGCCTGGCTCCCTACTTTCGGTGCCTCTTCAACAAAGAGGCGGTATGCAGGATGTAGGGTTTAGGGTTTGCTCCACTGTTCTTAGGGGTAGTGTTATTTTGTCCTTAGCCTTGTCTTCTCTTTTGAGGATCTGCAAGTCAGCTTTTCGGTTGCACAGGACATCTGCAGCAGCCTCTGGTTCATGTAGGAAAGTTTCTTCTAAAATCTGGGATGCAGAATGAAGAGCCATGCTGAAGTGGACCGGCCGCTTGCATCATGCCAGCTTTGGTATTGGAACCGGAGGTTTAGTCAGATACAAGTACAAGGCGATTGCAGGAAGCCTAAGCCAAGTTAGCTAAGCTGTCCGAACTCGCTGGCATTTTGTCAAGCATGCTGTCAAGTCTTTTTTTGAGAAATATGGGTCGCCGTTTTGGCTGGCCAACCTATAGTCTCTTCTCCTCAGTAGAAGCATGTGCACCCATCAAGTGTCAAACCTTCAGCCCTGAAGCCTAAATTATTGATCATCTGGGAAGATTTGGGAGGAGATTCTACCGCGCAATCATGCTCAGCGAGGCATTTCCCGCAATACTTACACCTTGGCAGACAAAAAAAACACCAAACATCTCTTCAAAAGAGCAAAATGTTTCAGAGGGTTCCTGTGAGATGCAGAATCAATTGTCAATCCGACCAGTTGCAGCAGTTTAAAGCTAAACCCTAAATCCTAAACCCTAAACCCTAAGACCCTAAAACCCTAAACCCTAAACCATTATGCCGCGGTGACTGCGCCTGGCAGGTGGCTACCCACACGGTTTAGGGTTTAGGGTTTAGGGTCCTAAAAAATGCCTTTTTGTAACCTAGCAGTTTCCATTTTCTTTTCCAATATCCCTATATGGGGGATTGTCAAAATTATGGTCCCCTTTTTGGGTCCCCTAAATTGGGCCCCTAAAAGGGACCACAATTTTGACAATCCCCCATATGAAAGCGCCCCAATCTTCACTCTGCACGGCTCCAGGCCTTTGTTTAAAGTTTCGAAGCTCCCTGTAGACTGAAGCCCTCCCCAGTCTGGGGGTGAGGGATTGAATAATTCGCAGCTTTAGGGTTTAGGGTTTATATTCCCCCTTAAGTAGATAGAATATAGGGTATTTAGGGTTTAGGGTTTTAGGGTATTTCGGGTATTTAGGGTTTTAGAGTTTTAGGGTTTTAGGGTTTAGGGGTTAGAGTCCCCCTTAAGTAGATAGAATATGGGGCATATGTGGATCTTATTATAATGTGCCCAAATCCATATTCTATCTACTTAAGGGGGAGTATAGGTGTCGTGGCGCCGTTTCCGCAGGTGGCTTTCGTTGATATGTTGAGCATTGACCAGACCGACCCTGAGCAGAAGGAGCTAGGAATCTACAGCATCGGCGGGCATCTCTGATGCCACATGAGTAAAGATTTGGGTCACCGAACCCTAAACCCTTAAACCCGAAAACCCTGAACCTTTAAGCCCCAAAACCCTAAACCCTAAGCTTTTTACCCCATCTTTTTTGACCCTTGCCTTGCCTTTGCCCATGGTGTCCAAGCCTCGAGAACTGGGTTGGCCGTTGGGAGACTTAAATATTTTCCCGTACTGGTTTCATAAGAGCCCAAGGAATCCTAATATTTTTCAATTGGCTCCAAAGGCCAACCAAGATAATTAACCTTGCTCTAAACTGTTTAGCAATATTAGGGTTTAGGGTTTAGGGTTTAGGGTTTAGGGTTAACTGTTGCAGTAGCTATTGCACTAGGCAGTGCGCACAATTCTGAATTTCAGCCTGATGCAGCAGTCCCCGTACCTGCTCAGAAATATTATTGTTCCGAGGATCTTTTTAGGCACAGTATATTTGACCTCCAACCCCTGTTCCAATCTGTTAGGCCCCTTCGTCAGCCCGAACACTGCGCTGCTCACAGGAAAGGGTAGGGAACTCTAACGATTTTTTCTGTTGAAATGTCTGCTGCCGACTGAAGATTGGAGGCTAGCATTGCCTTTGCAAAGAAGATTGCTGTATTTGGATTTAGCTGCTTTGTGACCTGCTATTCACGGTGGGTGTTTTGTCTAACCGATCTAAGCTTCAGACTCTGCTCCACCAGTGTCCTCAGGTTCTTGAAAATGTCCGACAGACTGCATGTCTTGTGGTCGCCGGATTATTTGACTCGCTTGTGGTGTGTCTTTGAGCTACTGGCCCTTCCACATGGCAACACTTTTCTATCAAGTTTCAATCAGGAAGTGTCCCCACCCAGCCAAACCAGAACACCGTTAAGGGTTTAGGGTTTAGGGTTTAGGGTTAGGAAGGTAGTTTACAAAGGGCCCTGATCTTTGGATGGTACGCTCTATTTCTGGAGGGTCATTTGTGAGTCTTTCCCTACCTGTTAGGGTTTAGCATGCAGCTCCTGCATATTATGGATGCCTGGCGCCACGGTAAATTCCGGAACAGGAACAGAGTTTTGACTTTCAAGGAGAGGGCATTTGAGTAGTATTTGATTTGGGGATACTATGGTACCCATTATAGAGTAAGATTATATCTTTTTTTTGGGGTATAGTATTTTATATAAGGAATATTGTCTTACTAGGTTCAACCACCAAAAAAACACGACTCATTTTAGGAACTGTTCTGACAAGTGACGACGCCTGCTACATCTATCTTGTGCAGGGCTTGTCAGGTTTATAGGTCAACCTTGACGGATTTTGCTTTGGGCAGCCGGTTTGGGCAGGACAGCTGTCTCAAGTGAATTTCTTAGCTGATTTGGGGCATCCTGGTCACGGAACCTTGCAGGACGGACATACGAAGTACTTGCTTAGTTTCTTGAGGTGAATTTAATTGCAGACGCATTTGCCTCGTGCTTTGTGTAGCAAGAGGCTTCGCGCAATAGACTTGTCCTTTCGCTTATCCAGCGATGCTGTTGAGACCGGAGACTGTAATTTCCTGACGCAGGGGACGAGCGGAATCACAAGGTTTAGGGTTTAGGGTTGGGAATGCTGTAGTCTGTTTTTTTTTTGCTACCACGGGTGCCTGAGGCTAGCAGCCTATCGCAGCGCCAACCCGAAGGGAAAGATCGTTCTGGCTCCAGTCTTTGTGGAGCGGATGTTTGCTGTTTCTTTGTCGCCAACTCCCTGGTATTCAGTTGAGAGTTCTCAAATTAATCCCCGCTTTCATCCTCTAGGGTACATATTGGGGTATATGTTCGGGTTATATTGGTAATGGGTTTCTTCTTAAAGAACTCCATATCTTGCTACTTGTCCCCACACATTTCTGAGGTGCCTAGAAATCTCAGCGAAGGATGAAGTATTCCTAGAACTCTAGCAGCAATGCTTCGAAGAGACGGCCTTCTCCACTTCTTCACTCCCTAAGGTCTAGGATTCAGGGGTCAGGGTTATGTAGAAGCTCGATGACGTACGAATATTCTCCCCTCATAATCCTTTGAGGGCTATAGCATAGTTTACTCCCCTAACCCTATTCTAACCAAATAGGTGTGTAAAGTGTCAAACCCCTACAAAAGTTGGGGTTCCGATTTCACTTCTCAATTTCTTTTCCATACGAGTAGCCACTACGGCTCGGCTGCAGATTCATATAGGGGAAAGGCGCAATTGGCTCCGGAACATTTAATCTGTAAGGCTAAGCTTTTTTGTTCCTTTGAGCCAAATGCAAGCAGCACTGATCCCCTGGATCTACTCTCTGGAAACAGCAATCGAGTGTGCTGGGTCCCAGTTCCCGGGCCTTCCAGCTTCCTACAGACGGGTTCGCAATGAAACGCAGCAGAGGTAGCATGCATTGTGACTGCGAAAAAGCGGACGGAGGCTTCTCCAAACAACGCAGTGTGAACAGTGACGGCACAGGGCTGCAGAATTCCGATTGGCCTGTTTTTTCGGATTCGGGGTTAAAGCGCGGAGCTCAACACAGGGCTTTTATCTTCTCTAATCTTCAAGTTCTTTGTCACAGGCAGTACCAATTTTAGCTGGAGGTATGGAACTTGCCTTGGAGCGGTGTCGAGCACGGGCGCGCCCTCACCCTGCCTCTCCTGAACCTTCGGCTACCGCTGTTGGGTTGCATATCCGGCCCACTGCCGGGGTGGTTAATCCTTCTAATAATTTTCGATGGACCAGGCTATTTCTGGGTAGGTTGCTTGCGCTATCAGCGACTAGAACCCGGGTGCGTGCCAGCAAGCCTGCATGTCCTCAAAGACACGTGCGAACTGGAAAGTCTCTCAAAGAGAGTGGGTGCGCGATGCGGCCTTCCCACCCTCAGCACTTGCATGTGGCTAACACTAAAACGTGTTGCAGGCCAGCGACACTCATCCATATGCTCCAACTTATGACATGTTGCCAAAGTATTGCTGTGCCCTGAACACATGCCTTTTTGCAGGCAGTTGTCCGAGTAACGGATGAGCTTGCAGCGCCTGCCAAAGGTCCACGCAGCGCTTGGCCTTGATCTTGGAGCTTTCCGCGTTAGGCTCCGAAACGTAACGCAGTCGCAGGAAGGCGGGAGCCTGGATGAACTCACCCATTCAAAGTCTATCGTTCGCATTTGTCTGAAACAAGAAACCTGACGCATGTCAGACTTGAAGCTCCGCTCTTCGACGAGCGGCCGCTCTAGCTACAAGGAGGTCTATCCGACCCAATCGGCCGGACCTGTCTACAAGACACGGACCAGGGCATGTATCTGCCCTGCCATTAGGGCACATACGACCTGCGCGTGCCTTGACCGGCCTTTCATTTTAGCTGAATCCCAAGCCCACAGTGAGCCATGAAGTGTCAACTGCAGCCTAGCCTTTGAGCAGACACATAGGACTACGCTTCACTGGTGTTCAACATCAGCACATCGCCCGCAAGGAGTGGAGCCCGCTCGCTCAGCGCTCAACTCAAATTTCCATATGACTCTTTCCGTTGGCCACTAAATTACCATGGAGTGTTTGCTTGTTTTGTTCAGCTCTATTTTCAAGGTGGTGCTTTAGGGTTCAGGGCTTAGGGGTTCACAGGAATGTGGCGATAGCGAAATCTGTTTGTAACTGAAAGTGGGAACCTAGAACCAAAATAACTAGTAACACATTGACGGGGTGTATCTCCATGCTGCCTCGACGCGTGGAATCTGTATAATCCTTATCACATGGAGCCCCAGGAAGCGTACCCCTAATTTGGGAAACCCCAGAATCCAGAATCCCTAAACCCAAAACATTTTGTAACGTTTCTTCATCGAAGCATTTTCTCTGATCATGGCTATACCGCTGGTAGGTCACAGGGAGAGTTCGCAGGGACGAGTACCGGAACTATACAGGGTTGACTTTTGGGTTCCCTGCCCGCATTGCCCACTAGGCACTGATTAATTATCCTCCGTGACTCCGTGGGGACGTACCGAGCCTTTGTCCACTGGTTTGTAAGTTTGGTTGCTCCCAAATCGTACTTGGACATGCAGAGTAATCATAGCCTGGTTCTAAATGTATCATCACAACCCAATTGCAATTACCTTGAACCATCTTGAACCTCAAATTAAGGTTATGGCCTTGGCTGTTTACGCTTTCACCAGCGTTTTCGTCCTGGCCGAATCGGGTGTTCTCACATCCGGATCAGAGCTTTGGGTGTTCGCGCTGGCGACGATTCCTTGCTGGCTCTGTGTGCATGCCCTGCGGAAGAATTTCCTTGCAAAACACAAGCTGTTATCACAACTTGCGCTTCGACTCTGTTGGTAATATGGTAGCATCACATTTCTGATTTTGGGCGTTTATTTGCAGAGTTCCACATGAGAAAGTGGCGGAATGAAAGTTTGGATTACAGCAGCCCCGCTTAGAGTCTTTTGGTCCATTGCTTCATTCATCGTGTTTGCATTCCGGGATCGCGTCCGTGAACGTAGATTGTTTTTTGGCGTTGTTCCCCCACCATATGATGGTACTGCATTAAGTTGTGAGAAGTTATGATTTGGGGAGTTTCGTATCAGGTGCGTGAATCAGTGCTTTCCAGAAGTTCAGGGCCCGAACAGCAGCCTTACCACCAGCATTGAACTGTAGCAAGTTGGCCTTGAAGTAGGAGGGTTTAGGGTTTAGGGAATTGGGGTTTTGGGGTTTGCAATTTAAGGTTTTGGATTTTTTAGGGGTGATCACAATGCAGCTTGTGGGAAGCACAAGGCGTTGAGGGAAAATATCGGGCCGAGCAACGCTTGGGCGATGCCTCCTGGCGTTTTGTAGGCATGCCGGAAATGGATCCCTAAAAGAGTCCTTGATATAATCCCAATCATCGTCCATTAACCCATTTCAGAAGCAGCAAGGAATTGTGCACGATAGATTATGTTGACATGCAGCCGAGCTTTTCTGGAAGCTGTATAGTAAAGCTTCAGGTATTGGTATTTTTGGGATGCGGGGGGGCCCGCCATTTTGAAAACACTCACGTATAAAGATTGGACATTCCATGGTGCGCAAACCCTAAATCCTCAAGCCTAGACCTTGAGCTTAAATCTGAACCCGAAGCCCTCAACCCAAAACTGAAAACTGAAAATCCTACACCCTGAACCCCCAAACTTTACGCCCTAAACCCTAAACTCCAGCAGGCGAGCTTCAACTTGGCGAACGCAGCCTGCAGCTCTGAGTTTCTTTTCGGCGTCTTTCAAGAATTTTTCATTGGTTTAGAGTTTAGGGTTTCTGGGAGGGACGCTGTGGACATCTGTCTGTTTGACATGTTTGTGTAAGTATCCTGTTGAATATTATATAGTATATAGGTTACATATATACATATATACAATATTTTTTACCCTCTCCGTAATCCAAACGCTGGATCAGAGATCAAAGATTGCTCCAGAATTTTTCTCTGAAATACAGTAAATTATCTACTTCAAAAGATTAGCAGCAAAAAAATTAGAGCATGTTACAATAATCAAAAAAGACAAACGAAAAGATAAGGCTGTTAAGTCTTTAAGACTAAGTACAGTATTACGAACAACTAAAATATTCGGCAAAAATGAGATATCTCAAACATATAGAATAGCTAAGACATGCGAGATATGTAAAACATGAGGTAATTAGCATACTTGATTGCTGAACAGTTCAACAGTCAACACAATATGAAGTTTTTCCTTGCTAGCAGGGAAAGCACCAGCGTTACATCATACCAAAGGTCCTGCGTACATAGCCTGATAGCCCTAGAACCCGTAACCACTAGACCCTATGGCCCTAGCCTCTGCAGCTTACAGCCC